TTATTGATTCATGCAATAAATCGTACTGTATATGCAACTGTCTATACACAAAGTATACTCGAATAATAGAGGAACTATTAAACGCGTTTACTTGTTACAGATATGATACAGATATGATGATTAATTAACGCTGAATAATTAACCCGTTAAGTGCCACGCCAGTGTCCACAAAAGACACACAAAATGAAAACAATTCGTTCAAACAGTGTAAGAATAAAACGTTACAGCAATCGCTTTTTGTAATCGTATTGTATTTCGCATATTCTAACAAAGTTTAGCGTGATAAATAAATTGCAATAACAATCAGTTTCCGATTTTAATCGAATAATTCTCTCGGTCACATACGACTAAGTCAATTAATCGAATAAAAAATGAAATAAAAATGTATTTTCTTTTGCAATAATTTGAATCGATCGTAAACGGTGCAACAATGTTCTTAAATTTGCCCGGCATCTTCGAGGTTTCATATTTCACCGACATATTTTCGCCATAAATGCGTGATATTCGCGGACTACGTACAGCCAGCCGTCTGGCAATTTTTATTTCGCGCATGAATTTACAGGATGAAAAATTCGAAACGGGAGACGTCGACCGGTCGAGCCGAGCCGCGAAAACGAAGAACGCGACGCCGGAGAGCCAGACGCTGACAGAGACAGATAACGGTCGTCGACGAGCGATCGCTAAACGGTCCTCTCGCGTAATCGAAGCGTTGCGAAACGGCTTCGCGGGCGCGTTAAGCGATGCCACGGATCGCGCACCCTGTCGCGAATAACTTGGCCAATTAACTCGCAGATAAGCGTCGCCGTGCGCGTCTCGGATCCGGTCGCCGCGGGTCGCCGGTGGAACGCGATTTCCCGCGCGGGTCGCGCCGGGATGTGCTCGTAACGAGACGAAAGTTCCGCGGGAAAGCCGGGTCGCGACGAGACACGGCCATCACGAGACGGACACGTGTTACAGGAGAAATCTGCGACCGACCGGCCACCTTGATAGAGCAATTTCAACTTTCTCGACGATACGGCACACCGTCGCCTTCGACACCGACGTCTGTCTCCCGCGACTCGAAAGTGCAGTATCGTAACTCGCTGGTCGGGCACCATCGAGACAACATTGATTCCCACGTGGCAATTCGCCGGTAAATGAATTTATCAGACATCTGAAAATAGTCCGGTGCCGAATCAATGGCGGTTTCAAAGAAAATGATGCAGACTTTTCGCCTCCTCGTTAATTAACGTCGGAATTACCGAACGTGACCAATGTACAGCAATGTCTCCCTTACCGACGCTCAAATTGTATTAAAAAATGGACGATCTGGGAAGAGGAGATACGATTATTCGAGCCTTGCGGCTCGTTTCTATTGTGTTGGCAACTAAGTAATTGCCGATTTCAGTTATGATGTCTCTCACTCCCATTTTTATGATATCTGTAAATGTTATATTATAAAATTATTATTATTATTATATTATTTTTTATTATCCGTGAATGTTAGCAACTGGACAAATTGAATGCAGCGGTCAAGGAAAAGCGACCAGAATTGGTCAATCGTAAAGGTGTCATTTTCCAGCAGGACAATGCTAGGCCGCGCACGTCTTTGTCCACTCGGCAAAAATTGATGGATATTGGTTGGGAATTGATGTTACACCCACCATATAGCCCTGATCTCGCGCCATCGGATTACCACTTATTTAGATCCCTGGACAACTCCCTTCGTGGTAAAACTTTTAACGATGATGACGCTGTAAAATCTCACTGAACTCAGTTTTTGGCCGAAAAGGATCAGACTTTCTACGAGCGTGGAATTTTCAAGTTGTCAGAGAGATGGCGAAAGGTCTTCGAACAAAATGGAAAATACATTACAGATTAAACTTCATTCCAAGTAAAAAAAATTTTTTATTTCATTGAACAAATCGGCCAACCCAATATAATTATTGACAATCGATAACCATAAAAAACGAGCCACAAGGCTCGAATAATCGTATCTCCTCTTCCTAAATTGTCCATTTTCGTGGACAATCTAAGCGTCGATTAGAGAGACATCACTGTACATCGTTTTATAACAATGACAATATTGTATTTATTCAAGCTCCCTACGTTGTTTGTTATAACAGGCGCTTCAATGAATAAATTCGTATAAAAATTTCCAAGAAAAATATTTTTATAGTATCAGGTATTGTAAGAGAAAAATCAGAAGCCATTCATTTTGACCGGTTTGGCGTTAGAGAAAATGCGGGTGCTTCGTCTTTATTTAAGGAAGGACGAAGGAAAATTTGCTGGAGATCACAGAGATTTTATCACTTTGATTCTAAGCCAACCATTTTTCTATTCTCTGAATTTCACATCGAGCTTGTTTGTCGAACAGAAATATCGGAGCTTCGCGTGTCCCCGGAATGGGACCGACAGCGGCTGTGTTCGGCGAACAGTGAACCACAATAAAACGACAGCCAATGACGGTAATGCGGTGCCCCGTAATGCGTTTATTTGTCCCGTTGTACACAGTACACGTGTCCCGCGTTACACAGGAACGTCACGTTTGCCTTAGTTTCGCGGACGGCGCGCTACATTGGTTTATTTAATGATCCGAACGCTTTTGCGGCCGGCGATCTGTTATTTGCAATATTCGGCACGGTGTATTTAACAAGGACGCGAGCGATATCCCCGTGAATTACAATCGAATTTTACCCCCTCCCCCCACCCACCGGTGAACGTTATCGCGGTTTTCTTCGATGTGCACGCGGCCCACTATTTCGCCGGTTTTCAGTTAGCTAAATTATATTCGACGCGCGCTATTAATATTGCCGAGCCCTTTTGAATTCGGCCGCACAAAAACTGCACGGCCGGGTAACGAACGGATAATTTCATTCGGCGCGGATCGTGTTCGGCGCGGCGTTCGCGCGGAATCATGCCAATTTACCTAATTATACAGAATTTGATACTTATGCCGCCGAAATGAAATTGAAACGCAATGCTTCGGCCAGCATCCTCATTTCCGCGAACAATACTAACGCTAAACTGTTACCGAACCAGCTGAACCCAGTGTGGCACACTTTAAGAATCGTCGGAAAAAAATCGCTTCAAATTCCGAGATCCCGGTTAACAATTTGATTTCCGTTCTTTCGTTCATCGACGAAGTTCGAAACTTTTCTCAGATCGTTCTTAAAACTGTGTAATACGACGAGGATCATTAAGCACGAAATGCATAGAATTAATAGTAAAATTATGGAGTAAAGGATGCATTTCATGCTTAATGACCTAACAGCATTACCATAATTATCATAACCTTTCCACATTAATATTTATACAGTAGTTCTATTGCACATCTCGCAGATGCCGTTATGTTTTTGCTTATAATTCGTTCAACATTTGTTTAATTAGCAGTTGTCGTAACGTCGTTTAATGGCGAGCTACGCTCCATAAAATTTATAACGTGTATCTTGAAGGCGCGTTCAATGAAACTATGATCAAATTGTTTGCACGATGCCGTTCGCTGGGATATTGCAGTTCGTTCGTTTGTTGTTCGACGTATTTTTCACGAAATTTAATATTACGCTTTTAAAAAAGGAAAAACGCTAGAATTATATTCTGTATGAACTTAGTAAAAAATAATACAGCTCTCTTACGACAGTACGTTACAGGAAATTAAACATCGATAACTCAACAAATCATTTTGGCGAACATGCAGCTTAATTGCATAATAATGCGCCGGGCAGATCGTCGTCGCAAATAAAATTATAAATGTTCGGAACACGGGAAACAAAGGAGCGACTTCCCACGTCTAAGAGCACAGAATAGTTTCGTTCTCGTTTCCCAGAAGCAATCCAGATGCGCTAAGCGTCCGTCCGAAAATAAAATGGCACCCGCGCCGAAGCGTTAAAGCCGCGCGTAAATTTCACGGAATCGGCGATGAGCGCCGATGGGGGATCAATGGGAACAAAATGAGGCTGAGTTGTGTGTCGTTGAGCGTTGACCCATCCTAAAATAAAGTAGCACCCACTCCGGGTCCGTGCGCGGAATCGCGAAGAAATCAAACGGCCGGCTTTGACAAGGAAGCGACGCGAATGAGCGGTCTCGGCCATAAATTTGCCGCGCGAGTAAATATCAGCGGGGCTGGCTGTAAAAGCAGCTCGTGGCAGTTGGCTTCGTACATAAATGCATTGCTCGCATTGGCAGACGCTGATACACGCGGCTGTCGCGCGCGCTTCTCCGCGACTTCTTATCGCGATCGATTTGGCGTTCCCCAAATTGTTGGTCCCGCTAAAATTCATTTCCCCGCTGCTGCGCCAAGAACATTTGAAGCGCATCTCTCATGCGATTGCGCTACTTGAAACATTCGAAACGCTCGAATTGCTTTAAATGACAATTTATAGCTGATCTTCGACATCTTCGACTTAACCGACCGAGCTCCATGAAACGGCTCCGGCCACGCCATTTCGTCGAGAAGGCGGATGGAAAAAATATTTTTGCGTACCTCGAGATACGCGTAATAAAATGTATACAACAAATTGTCCGTGTACGCGGCGCTTTTTCTAGAATAAATTGTCGAAGGTGTCGATTCAGATCGCGAGTTTCGATCGATGTCATTTGTTAAGAGCGACGCGTTTGTAAAGAAAATTTGTTTCGACGATGCCAGAAAAGTAAAAAAACTATTTGAAAGTCAGCCTCGAAGTTATTAGTCCGAAGATTTGTTGAACTTCGTCGGAAGCACAATTTGGAGAACGCTGTCGCCGAGGCAAGTGAATCGCGTCCGAACGTTTGTAAAGGCGAAAGACGGTTTCTCGATGTTAACGCGAGTTTGCCTCCGCTGGAAACGCTGTGTTCGACAGCGAAGAGAAGTAACAACTTCTGCGAAGTTTTATGCGTTCACGATGAACGCATCCGTTCGTACTTAAACGACGGACACGGACGAATTCAGCGAGCACCGATTGAAAATCGCGACGCGGTAATAAAGGCTCGCAGTCTTTCGCCCAAACAAATGAGTAAATATTGACCGTTGACTTGGTACGTACCGTGAAGCCAATACCAACAGTGGCTGCGAAGTTCCCGAGCTGAAATCTCCCGGTATCGAACTGGACCAACAGCGATGTCTTGCCAACTCCGCTGTCGCCGAGTAGAATCGTCTGCAAATAAAGCACATTGTTTGCTCAACGATACTCTCTGTTCATATGAAAGCCAATCTCCGCGGAATGCCATCGTTTCCTTAGCAAACGTTCCGAACTCGCCGATGGAACACTTTAAACTGCAATCGCGCACCTATCATCAATTTCATTTGGTAAAACCGTTCATTAGGAGAATTGACGGTCTTCGTTGGAAATTTCGTTACGGTGAATCAATGAAACGTTTCGCTTGCGAGGAACAAAGAACATAATTTCGCAGCTTAGGGCACGCGCGTTTACAGTTAGGCGGCCAAAACGAGAAGAGGATCGCAATTCGCAATCGCGCGTATGTCTGGAAAAGCGAACGCGAAAATGATCGCGATTGCATAATCGGTTGATCATCGATTCAGTTTTAACAGTCTTTGTCGCTTCCAAATAAGAATCATTTCTCGCTCATAGTTCTCGTAGTCTAAAATTGTTGAATGCGCTTTGTGTCAAGGTATCATAGTTACAATCGACGTCGTGCAATCTAACTTTTCAATTTTAACTTAATTGAATAAAATATTTTAATTTTGTGCGATTTTCGATTGAGCAATTTGTGCAAATTTCTGCAAATTTCGATTTAATTTAGTATGGTAGCCAAAGTATTAATGTTATTGGAGAGACGACAATAAATTAGCAGAGCTCGTAATGAGACAGTGAAATGAAATTTTTTCTACCAATTAACTGTTTCCCTGTCGACGAAGGTTAAATTCACGTAACATGATTGAAAGAAGTGAAATGTTAATAAAAGAGATGTAAAGCGTCCCAATGTTATAGGAAACGACAAACGGTAGCATGTTGAAATGGTGAAAAAATTCTCTCATTAGTTGCAAAAGAGAGTGACATTCTTCTTTTAATATTCTGTAATTTTTGTCACACTTCTCCTCCAGTTTCAAAGTGTCTTTTGATGAAACATAAATGAACAGCCCAGCGCACAATGGCTGGGCTGCGGATTTTATGCGTCCGTGACGAGAATGGTTAGACGAAGTATGAAACTGTGAAAACGTCGGAAGAATCTTTGAAATACAACCTGTTAAAATGATCCTGAAAGGTGCGCGAGTTTAATAACGACTCTAACGAGTTTAATAAAATCTCGGTGAAACGTCAACCGACGATTGAAAATCGCATTTTAACGTTGGACAAATTTCAAACTACCGATGCTATCGATTTCTTTTACTTTAAGTCGATTATATTTCGTAACCGATATGCTCGTAGAGCGAAATATGAACGTCTTTATTAAACACTGCAATTCCACAATTCGACTCATGAAATAATAATCCAAAGAAACAAGTGGAGTGCAATTTGGGGTAAATCTGCGGCTGTAAGGAAAAATATCACATATGTCACAATTTCAAACAATGTAAAATCGGTGCGCTGATTGAATCGTCGCATGCAGGATGTACGCATTTATCAGAAAACAACATCGTGAAAACAAATTCTATCGAACAAAATGATACAATTTGAAACGCCACTAATACGAAGCATTATCAGTGAACGGAATTTCATGCGACGATATCTCGGAAATGAAAGCACGTGGACCCGCGGTGTCTTCCTCTCGCAACCACAGAAATATGATCTGTACATACGTATAAGGAACAAAGCACGGCGGCAAGTTCAAACAGGGCGGGATGCGATTTATTTCGGTTGGTAGAACGATGAAAGATTCATCGGTACGCCGTGGCTTCGTTTTTATCCTAAAAGATTTCGAAGCCGCAAGATTGCGCCCGATTGTTATTGTTGTTGTTGTATCCGAGGTTTGTCAGGGCGGCGCAGGTATACGGCGAACACTTCGATCTCTCCCGTTAACCATCATGCTGTGTGGTCCCATAAAAGCTGCGGTCGGCAGCCAACTTTGTTGCCGGGGCCTCGCCTTTCCCGATAGTAACACCTGTAGCCGGTAATAATCGTTTGACCTGGCCACGCGGCGGATTATTACATTACGGGCTGCGATGGCACCTGCTTCGCCACAGGTAGAGGCGCGCGCGCACACGCACACGCTCACACACACACACACACACACGCACACGCACACACACACACACACACACACACACACACACACACACACACACACACACACACAGAGAGAGAGAGAGAGAGAGAGAGAGAGAGAGAGAGAGAGAGAGAGAG